AGAACCTCTGATCCAATAGAACCTCTGATCCAATAGAACCTCTGATCCAATAGAACCTCTGATCCAATAGAACCTCTGATCCAATAGAACCTCTGATCCAATAGAACCACCTACCAGGGTAAACTAAGCGCTGTTCTCCTTTGAGACGTCAGTCTGACCCGTTAGCCTCTGGTGCCGTGCGTCCTCCATCAGCCGGTGTTGTTGGATTAGTCCACTGGTTCTGAGAGATGAACCGTCTCTCGATCAGAACCACTAAGGTTCTTGGTAGGCCCAGTAAGTGCCTGCTGTCTTACACCATTGAGATGTTCTGAATGGTACCAGTACCTGACCCGCTGGGTCTTCCTCAGGCCCAGGTGGTGCAGGCTGGACTGCAGCCTGTATGCAGAGAAGGTTCTGGTCCTACTTCTGCTGAGTTCCATGGTCCCAGTGGAGTGGTTCCCCTCAGCAGAACCGGGTTTACGGTCATAGAACGTTCCCCTAAAGCTGTTCTGTTCTGTGGGATTCACTCTGAACTGGACCCAACCTGGAACGGGTCTCCATCTAAAAACCAAACATCTCTGTGGTTCTTCATCTCTGTCCTTCAGCAAGGACATGAAGGTTCTGGTCCAGCGGTTGGTGGAGAGTCAAACAACCACATGATGATGATGATGATTGTCCTTCATCCACCCTCCATTGGTCTTATGCGACCTGCTGGTACCGGTTTCACACTGAGAGAGCTCCACCCAGCCTTCCTGTTATCCGCTCTTCCTCACACCCTGAAGGAGCTGCAGGTTCTGCAGAACCACCAGCCTCTTTCCCAGCCCTTCCACACTGAAGAGCGTTAAGCAGCTGCTTGGTGACAAATGAGGTCACAGGGGGCGGAGTTTAGACCTGAGCCAGGTGGAGCTCGGTTCTGGTCACCAGCTGAGGGTTCCATAGTGGGCTCCGGTTCCACCGAGCGGTCCGGTTCTGGTTCCTTTAAGGTTCCTCCTGTAGATCATCTTGGTGCCTTAAAAACATTTTCATCCAGATTGGCCTTAATCCAGAAGCCGACGGATGACCTCACCGGATTTTATGGTCAACATGCGTCGTTCCCATAGCAACCAATGGAGGAAGTGGAGAAATCTGTGGAGAAACGTAGACGAGCAACTGAATCCCGTATTTCCTGGCGGGTCACTCGGCTCAACGCTCCTCTTCCTGTCTGAATGTTCGCCGTCTGGAAAAGAGCTGCCGCTTCCCAGCGGACCCCAGAAGCTCTGATTCAGGTCAGAAGGCTCCATCTTCAGGTCCTCCATGCTCCTCCGTCTCCCCTCGGCGCGGCGTCCTGAAGGAGGCGGAGCTAGAAGCTCCTCTGGTTTCTGACTGAAGGTTCTGATTGGCCATCTGCTTTAATTAACCTTCTATAAACTAGCTGCCCTGATGTTGGACAAACGGCTCCCTCTGGTGGACAATCAAAGTGCTTTATCTCCCGTCTCCATGGCAACGGGGTTTCCTCTGCAGACTAGCCTTACGCCGTGCTGCCTTCCAGATGTTGCCTTTGAACATTTCTGGGTTCTGGTTTGAGTTGGACTCTATGAGCCGCCCAGTACAGCAAACAGTGTTAGCTTCAGTTTATCTTTGTCTGTCGCCGTGACGACGATGCTACCACTAAATACTGCCACTTTGGGTTTGTTCTGATCCGTCTAACTTATACTGTCTTAACCTCCTCAATAAATCTGCAGATTTTAACACTCCTCCTCTCTTGTCCTTGGATTTCACTGCAGATAAAATCTGACTAAAGGTTCCAGATGGTGAAACTTTTTCATTTTTATCTCATGAAAGGAAAAGTTCGCTCATATTCAGCATTCAAACTTCTGAAAGTTCTTTAAATCTGAAATCATCCCATCC